AAACATTAAAAAGAGAAAAATATAATTTTGAGAATAAGAAATAAGGAATAAAAATGAAGGGCCTCCTTCAGGGTATGTCTCTGCTGTCACAATAGACAACGTGGAGAGCAGTGTGCAGTTACAAGTCAATTAGTCTCAGCAAGCCAGTAGCAAACCTGTGAGTTTCAGGCTGATTTCTGGCCTAAAGTCCCAAGTTGAGTTCCCTGCCCTCCTGAAGGGTTGAACTCTGCAAGGTTCTACTGCAGGTTCCAGCTGCCCTTCCCCTTAAGATAGTCCAGGTTCCAGTGGGAGGTAATGATCCCTCCAACTTACCAACTGCGTTGTTCTGGTGTGCCTTTATCACAGAGATTCTCTTCACTTTTCCAGTGGGCTTCAGTTTTCATCAAGGAGCCTGAAAGAGGCTCTTTTTCTGTTCACTTCTGCTCTATCTTCTGCCACTCTGGACAGTGGCCTTTATGACCCTCTGTGCCTTTGCAGTGTGGAACCAGGTACCAATGCAGCCAGGCGGCCAGAGGTAGGCGGTGGGGGGGGGGCAACCACTTTTATATTGGTATTTATTTCATTTTATTTGAATCAGAAGTGATACCTACTTTGAAAATGGAATATTCTAGCAACAGGATTATTAATAATAATGAACCCAGCAGATATTACTGGCTCTGATGAATTTCTTTGGTAGATAATGATTGTGAAAACACTAAGTATTTTTCGAACTTTTTTTTTGCCTTCTACATTCTAATAGTTAAGTTTTTACTGTTATTTTTATTTGATATTTTAATCTAGTAATAAACACAATCTTAACATCTAAGGAAAATAATAATGCAAATATTTCAGTTTTTGGTCCAGTTATGTAATTTTTTGGAAAAAAATGAGTATGATAATAAATTTAAATGTTTTAAAATCTACTAATGTGCAATATATCTGAAAACTGGAAAGCTATAAAATGTCTTCTGAGTGACTGAAATTGCCCATAGCCTGGTGACTATAGTGTTATATTTAACTGTTTGAGACTATTAGATGATCACCATAGTCTAATTTACCTGAAATTCTGACAGCTTAGGTTGTCTGATTTCTCAAAACCTGTATGATTAAAGGGAAAAGGAAGTCTTAGCATGAGTAAAGGTGAAGTTACAACAAAAATGACAGTTTCAAAGCAACCTAGAGAATTACTATATTTCAGGCTAGTGCAATAACATAGTGGGTATCATGATGTTACAGAAAGAGAAGAATTTTAAAAATAAATAATATACTGTTTTTGAGTGGGTAAGATGATATTTCCTTAAAATAATTATTGTTTCTAAATTAAACTGATGATTAAAAGGGGACTGTGCCTTGGGATACTCAGTTACCTGGGGACTACATTTACAGGAAACTGTCCGTTCTCACTAAATATGAATAAATGTGAAATTACACATGTATGGCATACTTTTTATCCTGAGAACATTCATGTGAGGTAGAAGTGTGAGAACCATTTTTATTTCACTTATGCATTATTAACTGGACCTTAAGGAGAACCATTGCATTTTCCTTATTTACTCAGTTGTTGACTTGAGTGACAGTATGGTCCATTATTTATCCAAGACCTGATGATGACATGAAAAGCCCGAGATGTATAATATATATTACTTTTTATTCGAAACCTTAGGACCAGCCCCATGACTAAAGATGTAGAAGAACAATTAGAATCTGTTTGGCTTCATTTGCAAACTTTTGAAACTAGGAAGTTTGCAAGTTTTATTTTGGAATGTTTATGTCATAATTCATCTATTAGATACTTCTTACTGATCTTTTCTCTAGTGAAAACATTAGCCTGAGGCAAATGCTAAATCTTTCCCACACTTTAATGCAGAAAGTGCCTTTTTAAAATTTTGCATTATGTGAGTGGTCATTTTCAAGTTCAAAAATACCTTGATAGATTACAGATGTAGGATATATTTTATTTTTTATTTTTTTGTTGGTACTGGGGATCGAACTTGGGTCCTTGCACCTGTGCAGCAGGCAGCAAAACCACTGAGCTAAATCCCTGGCCCTAGGATATATTTTAAAACCCTTAATACTTTACAAAAATTGAGTCTATAGTCATGCATATTAAGTATATGTGGTTTCATAAAATCGGTCTTTTAAAACAAGTTGCATGAATAGATCTTTGGAATGATCTATAAATTGGTTTAGTACAGTTTTGTAAGCAGTTGCATAGCTATCTTGATTAAAACTGCTTTAGTAAATTCAAGACATTTCTTGCCACCTAATGTCAAGAAATGCATCCTTTATTGAAACTGAGAACTTGTGGAAGCCTGGAACCATTTCTGTTTCCACACATGTAGTATTAAGGAGTCATTTGTTTTCTGTAGCTTTGGAAAGAATAGCTGAAATAAACAGATAAAAGTGATAAGTATCTTTGAACATAGGCATGGATCCCTGAAAAAGAGTATTAAGTCACTAAACATTTGCAGTTGATTACATCACAGTGGGTTTGGCAATTTAAGTTTAGGCATATTTTTTCTTAGGGAGTGTAATGAATAGAAGGTTTTCTTTTTTTTTTCTTTTTAGTAGCAATAGAAAAATAGTTTTTAAATATACTGAATCTCTTCTTTAAAAATTTGAATTGTACAGGTAGAAAAAGTATTCTCTAATGCTTTCTCTTTCAGGCCACAGTATTATAAGATAATTGAGGAGTGTGTTTCACAGATAGTGCTGCACTGCAGTGGTATGGACCCAGACTTCAAGTATAGGCAAAGATTAGACATTGATTTCACTCATCTGATTGGTATGTAATATAACCCTTACTGTCCTTTTTGCTTTATGCTTTTTATAAATAGGCAATTTTTTTTTTTTTTTTTT